TATTTGTCCCCCCTCACTGTCCACCTCGTCCCCCCGTCTCATCTGTTGGATTATCTTAAAACATCCTCTCGGTCTCTTTTCCTCGCTGAATCCGTTGCATCTGCTTCTTTTCTGTCCTTTGTTGATCCACTTTTCTCATTTCTGCAATTACTCGGGTCCACTCATGTGTCCTTTCAGCCCACAGAATTTAGGGCTTCTATTCTCTCCTCCAAATCTCCTACTAGTTTTTTTTTCTCCAAACATGCACCGGCCCCCCAAACCTCTACGGCTCGCTCCTCTTCTCTTTTCATTCTGTTCTTTTGTCTGTTTTCCCTTTTTTCCCTAACCTTTATCCTCCACTTTTTCTACTCTGTATCCCCCCTTTTCCTGCTTTTTAAAAGGACCCCCCCCCCCCTCCTGTTTTCTTTAACATTTCCTTCTGCTAATTTGTTCCTTTAGCCCCCAAACGCTCATTCATGCTCTTTCTTCTGCAAACCTCTCCTTCCCCGTCTTCTTCCTCTGCATCCCTAATCCCACTTAACCTCCCTTTAGTTCCAAAACACTCCAAACGTCTCTCTCGTCTCCGCCATGCTCCTTGAATCTGCTCCTTTCGGTAGTGGAATTAGCTGGAATTCCACTCCATTTCTTTCCACAGTTACAAGAATTCTTTTGCACATATATAAAGCCTCCATTTATAAATGACAAGATAACAAACAGATCTTGCAAAGTTAATGCCAGTAAAACCCACGTTAAATGTGATTTACTTTCTCGCTGCAGCTTTTTTTCCCCATTTAGTTTTCACGGTAAATGGACCAGATTTAAACATAAAGTGCTGCACACACAGGTGAATGTCCCCCGTCCACCCACGGAGGATCTGCACTCACGCACACCGATGCTGTGGATTGAGTTTTGGGGACACTTTGACGTGCAGACTCCCGATGAGAAGGCGACCTGCTGTCGCTTTGAGCCACACATCTCCTAAAGACAGCCAAGGTACAAACCCTCATACGCACGCCCACACCTCTCCACCAGAACTAATCACCTACGAGAAGAAAAGGACGCGGAAAACGGCAGCTGCACAGACCAAGGTGCCGCTCACTAAAAGCTCCCTCCACAGTGTGTGAAGTGTGCAGGATAAAGACAACCAGTGTAAATTACCGTGGGCTGAAAGAATATCTGATTAATTAGCACGGAGGAAAGAAAGCCTCTCCGGTGAGCAGCCAAGCAATGCTAAAAGCTCATCCTTCTCCCCGCCGCGGCTCCATCTCACCTTAGCGCATGCCGCTTCCTTTCATGCACTCCGTGAACTAGCGCGCTCAGAGGGGTAGTGGATAGATGTACGAGGCGCTTATTCATCAGCGCAGTAGCCGGTCATAGGAAATGAAATGCATTTCACTGCTCTGCTCCCGTGTCGGTACCCTGGTCCGTTCCTCCACACTGGGGGTGGGGGGTGAATATGCCCTTAGACAAGATTACATCTGCTCATGGGGCTCCGTTCAGCAGTCAGAAGAGTCAAAAACAAAAGTTTCTTCCCAACGGCAGATGGCGGGACGAGTGAAAGCCGATGGCAAAACAGCTTCCAACGCGTTTATCCTCTTTAGTCAAGCAAACCCCCAAATAAACACAAATAGAGTGACACCAAGAAGGGAGGGGGGGAGGGGGGTATTTATTTAGCTTAATTTGGCATAAACAATGGAGTGAGTGCTGTTGTCATATCGACCACGGAGTAAAATGTGAATGAATTCTGTATGGATTTTTTCTAAATAATAGAATAAAAAGCATAGGCCTGCCAAACTGTTCGGGCAGATTTACACCTCCACGGTTGGATCAACAGCTCCCCGACACAACATCCGATGAATTCAATTTGAATAGATCTTTATAAGCATCACTGTACTGTGCTATTCATCCCAGCAGCAAAGGAGGAGCTCTGCCGCCTCCATCTTTTTAAACGTGACCCACTCGGGACCTTCTCACTCGCCTCTTTATTTCCCTCTACGTTACTTTCTCTCTCTTGATGTTATTTTCTCCCCATTTATCTTCCCCTCATGCGCCACAGCACCTCTCCCTCTCCGCTCTCTCAGGACTGATTGTTTTCTAATTGGTGGAGTGCCAGAGGTCGTGGTTGTTATGGTAACCTGCGAGGCGCACTTGGAAGGGTTAGCTAGTGGTGGTGGTGATTGGGGGGGGGACGAGGGTTGGAAGGAGGGGAGGTGGTGAAGAAAACGGAGGGCAGCACTTATCCTGAGGCTCGGGTGGTCACTTCAGCAAATGGACTCTGTGTGTGTGTGTGTGTGTGTGTGTGTGTGTGTGAGTGTGAGTATTTGACATCGTAACGACTCGGTTTGGTGCGCGGCAGGAAGCGGTTGGGCAAAGACTCCCGCTCTCCACTTGAAAATCCTCATGTTGTGTCCCCCCGGTTCCGATTCCCCTTGTGAGCCGCTCGGGCCCTCCAGTCCCCCCCCCGTCCATCTGGAGGGCGAGGCAGAAGAGCTGCAAGAGGGCGGACCGCGAGGACGGAACGCCGCTGTGCGTCTCTTCTTCTCTGGCAGCAATCGCTGCCTGCTCACCAGAACTCTTCATGCGCATTGTGGCAGGTGGCTTTGGTTGAAACCTCATGAGAACAACAATGGAGGTCCGTCGTGGTCAAAGCGAGACGCCTCATCGTGGAAGTCGTCTTATGAACACGCCGATTACACCACAAACACCTCGAGCGAGAAACATTTAGATACGAGTGGGTTATTTTTCGGCACGCGCATGCATGCCTTTGTGATCTTTACCCAAATGCACTGCCTCTGTGTGTGTGCGTGTGTGTGTGTTGGCTTCACTAAATGAGTCTGCATTAAACTCTTCCACGCCCGAGGCACGGAGCAGGCGGAGCCCTTCCGGGCGGGTTGAGGAGCGGCCGCTGTGATACATCACGTTGCATTCTGGTCCCTCCGTGATGTTGCTGTTCAAAGCAAACCGCTGATAAAGTAAATCTCTTTACAGTGACAAACAAAAACTGAAAAAACGTGAGTTTATCAAAGCTTTTGAAGAACGTCAGCATCAGGGGCCACTACCGAGTGCCTGCTGATTGGTGATGTGCCTTTTTGCTGCACGTGTATGCCAGAGATAGATATGACAGAATGGCATTGCGGCGCTGGTCCAGTGTTTGGCTCGGAGCTGCAGCGTGAAGTCACTACGGGGCTTTTTAAATTAGTGGAGGTGCTCCAGCAGTAACACGGCAGACTGCACGGGTAAGCAAAGGCAACACAAAGTGGCATTCCTCATATTCTGCTGCGCGTTACCAACTGATGATGAGCACAAATCAAAGGCAGGCAGCACAAATTAAACAAAAATAGTTGTAAGATCTGACTTTTATATGAAGATTATGCTTGATGTTTGAATCTTTGCTCCATTAAAAAGGAGGCAACGGGGGGGGAAACGTAGCACATGCCAAGCAAACATAGCAGAGTATTATATTCTGTCCCAAACCTTCCAGCTGATCTCGATTTTCTAATCCAGACAGACTAACAGCCATCTCATTTCCACTGACTCAGCTGCTTGTTTGTGGATCTCACTCACACTTTCCAGGCGAGGGAGTCAGTTGGAGACCCGATCGCAGCTGACGGTGTCGTTTCAGCCCTTAAATTATCGTCGTTATCTCACATTATCCAGGATGAGATGCCTGGCTTTTGGAGACACTTTTCAATATCCGTGACGTGCTTTCTAACAGATGGCCACCCACGAATAACAAAGAAGAGAGTAAACTTAAGGATGGAGACTTGGTTTAAGGTTTAGTCTTGGAAACATGAGGTAATGTCCCCAAAAAGCCATGGAAACCCCACTCCGTATGTGTGTGCTTTCATCGGTGTGCTCCATGTCTTCGCTGTGGTGCGGATGGAATGGAGCCCTCAGTGACTCTGTTTATCTCCGTCTCCCACACGCACGCACGCACGCCCTCCCTCTGGGACGCCGCGTCACGCTCACCCGGGCGCCGCCGACACGGCCGCGCCGTCGATTAGCGTCGGCCGATACTTGGACTCGCTTCTGTCTGCATCATCGGGTTTCCAGAAGTGATGATGAATGAGGAGCACGAACTGCCCGGAATGCTGTGGCCGGCATGTGGCCGTGGTACTTGTTTTACCTCTTTTAAGGAAGGAACGAGACGGGGAAAGCCAAGTGAATCACGTGAATTCATCGGATTAATCAAATAAGTAGCAACAAACGTCATAATCCGTTCAGATAATTATATAATAGACGGTAGACAAATCATTTGTGTGGCTTCCTGTTTCAGTAGCACGAACGCTGCTGATCCCACGGCCTCGTTCACAAGGTCCACCCTGCACACCGAGGTCAAATGAGTCAGCGCTTTTCACAACGAGCCACGATTTATGCAGGCAGGCACAATACGTAAGAAATACAGTGTCGGGAAACATTTCTATAAAGCCTGAAACTGTCCATCAGACGGAGTTACTAAATGAAGATGGAAGTGTGTGTTAGTGTGTGTGTGTGTGTGTGAGGACGTCTGCACTGGTAGATATATTCAGCAGCGTCTGGGCTGTGACTGACATAATAAAGGGGATGAACACAACACACACACACACACAATATGTATGTCTGTGGGTATGCCGGCACTGAAGTGCTCACACTGAGGCTCAAAGCAAGCGCAAACAATTCAAACTCTCCCCTTTGTCTGTGCATCCGTCTCTATCTTTTTGTCGATTCTCACACACACACACACACGCGCGCACACACACACGCGCGCACACACTGGCCCGTGGCAGATAGACCTGATGTAGACAGGAGGGGAAAGGAAAGGGAGAAATGAGTCAAAGTAAAGTTGCTGTGAAAGAGAAGAGGGATGAAAGAGGAAAGGAGGAGGGGAACGCTGGGAGCCATCTTATCTTTATGGAGGGGGCCCCGGGCTTATTTGGAGCTTTTAAAAAGAGACAAAACTAATACTTTTCTTCCACATGCTAAAATGTCCTAAAACTGAAGAATTGGTGACGGTTACCCTGGGGGGGGACCTGGGGACTTACCCGTCATTGGCGGCAGCGGCAACAGCGGAAGGTGTAGGTCCCGCCCCTCTCGGCTTATTGACTTTGGCGTACAGCCGATCAAGCGGGTCATCACCGGGGACGGTTCCAGGGTCGTTGCCGTGACTCCCGTGCCCTGGAATGTGGCCCTGGGGGGACGGTGGGCCAACGTGGCTGTAGGGAGGGGACTGAGGCGGCGGCGCCGCCATTGGTCCCGCCTCTCGGCCCCTGAAGGGTTGTATTTGGGCATAGCTGGGGTCTAGCTCGTCATCTTCGACATCTGGATACGGCGACGCGCCGCCCTGCTGGTCTCTGCGGTGCTCTCTCAGCTCGGGGTGCCCCGCCTCGATCCTGACGGGACAGACGGGGAGACAGTTTAAGACGTCTAGAAATATTTATTTGGTCAGAACACAGGGAACCACGAAGAAAGATCTCCAACCAGAAAGATGGGCAATGAGAAGAAAGGAACGGCATGAACAAGGATTATTATTATTAACAAACACCTGTAATCGAAGAGGAAAACAGAGGTGGTCACCGAATTCCCCTCGATGACAAAAGACGGTGGATATTACTCTCATATAAACAGTTCAAATACTGTTAGAGTAATATTTACTCAAAGTCTGTATGTCAGAGAATTAAAAGCAAAAAACTAAACAAAAAAAAAAACCTGACCATCAAAGCTCCCCACCTCTCCCTCTCCTCTTTCATCCTCTCAAACTCATGATCACTCATGATGTCCGACTTCTGTCGCCGAGCTGCTTTCGCCTCCTTTTTCTCCTCTTTCTTCTTCCCGAATCTGGACGGAGGGAAGAAGAGACACAGGCAGAAAAACACAATGAGTGATAAATAATGACTCAAGTGGACAAAGAACATAATAATAAAATAACTACAATAAAAAAAAAACACGAACATGGCATCAACAATCCTCTCCCACAATCCAACAGGCTGACCTGAACGCAGACACACGCGCACACACACACACACACACACGCACACACACAGGTGTGTCACGCTTCAGCTCATTGGCCTATCGATCTTAGTGAGCCGCTGTCACATCTAAATTAAATTGTTCTAAAAACACATGTTGGGTTCCATGTCTTCTTGTAGTTGTTTTCCTCCACAAAATAAATCTAAACAGCAGGTAGTTTCATAGTAAAATGTACAGACGTGTAGGTGTTTTTCTGTGGTTGTAATGCGGTAACAGTAACAGTGTAATTGAGTCCTTTGATACATTAGATACTGGATGTAAAGTGGTTGCTACTCTATGCCTCCTAATCTAAATTAAAAGATGGCATACACACGAGTCTCCAGTGGCCACACGCAGACCACACCGGTCAATACAGTGTGTGTGTGTGTGTGTGTGTGTGTGTGGGAGGTGGGGGGGTCAACATCAGCAGCACACTTAACAGTTACATTTAAATGCATTGTTTTGGTGGAGTGCAACGTCACTTATTAAACCAAGAACAGGATTTAATTCATCTTAAATTCTGTTAAATTAATAATCCGTATTGAGTTGCATGAGAGCCCTTCAGAGGCTAAAATGTTGATGAGCAGTTCAGCTCGTTAAACTCTGGCCAGCAGCTGCACGGTGAGGAGGACGTGGTTAACTGAGCCAGTCAAACCTGATAAATAGTTAATACCTCCAGCATGCAAACTGTGACCCTACATCCCGCCTAATGCATTATTTATCCGCTGGACTTATTGATTTATTATTCTTTGGTCTACATTTCCGCTACCCGCTGTTGCTGATGTGTTACTGTACCTGCTTGTGCATTATTCAAATGGACGCTCGTGGTCATTCTAATGGGGGGAAAACAAACTTTAGTATAAGTACGCCAGGGAAATACTTCTTTGAAATGCCTAATGTGGACGGGGAGGGAGGGGGGCGGGGGGTCCGTACTTTGAGGGGGGCTCAATGGGCATGAAGGGCCATAACCGTGTGTGTGTGTGTGTGTTTGCCTCACAGGGGACCAGCCTTGCTCTAATTACTGCTCCCTCCAAGAGTTGAAGGCTTACCCTTTCCCTCAACTCTCCCTCCCTCCCTCCCTCACCCCTCTTTCACCCATCTCCCTTTTAGCTTTCCCTCCTCCGTTACATCACCAATGTCCTCCCTTTCTCACTTTGACCTCACCCCCCCAATTGCACCCCTCCATCTCGCCGCCCCGCTTGGCATGCCGCTCCCCTCGCTACCGGACCCCCCTCTCGCGGCGCTTAACCTCCAACATCCCCTCCTCTGCTGTCGCCCCATGCTGTCATCCCCGCTTCCCTCTCGCCCTCAGCGTTTAAAATAAAGAATTAAAAGATGAAAAATAAATTGGGGTTCAAGGATAGATTACAGGTTGTTTGTACTACTCGCAAAACACACACAGAGAGAGAAAATAGGACTTGTTAAGCTCTTCAAAAAGGCGCGACGTAGAAGATGTGACTGCAATTTGTATGTAAAGCACAAGAAGAATGAGCTAACATTATAATTACAATGTGAGGAGCTTACAGATGTGCCGTTATGTCAAAGATGCTGATCTTCATGCAGCAGATAGCAGATAGATAGCTACTCAAGTTCAGCCGGCAAAAGGAAATGAAAAATCTTAATCTCATTTCTGCAATTTGGGATTTGGTCCATTATATAAATGATTAAAGCATAAACAGGCCGTAAGGCCCCCGGTCGGTGGCACAGTAAAATATAGGCCGGCAGTCTCCAGAGTTTTGGCTGTTTGAATAAATTTCAGTTTGCATGCAAACTTCAAACTGAAAAAAAAGAGACTGCACATTTACTTCATTTTGAAAAATACAAAAAAAGTATTTTTGACAATGAAGATGAACAAGATCAACTAGAATAAAGCACGTGTAATATTTTCAATCTACTTAGATTCAGAAAGTGTCTGCTTTTGCGTGTGCATGTGTGTGAGGGAAGAAACAGAACTAGAAAGCTCGGTGCGCCGCGGTATTTGTCTTTGTTCCTGAAGGCTGCATATGCAAAGAGAACAAGGAGCTCCAGGGAAGCAGCCGCTAAATCGCCTTCTTTCACCGTGTCACCACACTCAGATTTGACCTTTTCTTTCCCTCTGCGTATTTTTGAGGAGTAAGCAAAAGCAACAACCGGTTTGGTTTGTTTCTTTAATAGTTACTTTTCATTTCCGCCTGTCAACAACTTGCTTTTCATATATTTAAATGATGATGTAATGAAGATGCAGCAAACTGAGCAACATCATCACTTAAAAACCCAGAGAAATATCAGAACGACTGATTAACAGCCAGTTAAGAGGAATAAATTACCTCCACTCTTCCATGAGAAAGAACAGAATGACGACTCTGGAATATTCACGACATCACGCTTCCCTTAAGCCTTTATCGGTCGAAAAAAACTAAAACAAATATTCAAGTGTCCCAGTCCGACCAGTTGAAAAGTGATATATTATATATAGGACCTCTCGTGGCTCACACTTTCTTCTAACGCCTTCTACTTCCTTTCTAATGCTGCCATGACTCACAACGAGCTCTCAGCCGCTAGCGAAAACACAAGTGAGACCCAAGACACCCCCCCCCCCCCCAAAAAAAATAACACAACGGCTCCTCTGGGCACAGACACACAGCGAGGACTTGGACTCACACTGAGCAGTACTTCTCCCGGAGAACTTGCCCATATGTGACCCTCCTCGTGGTCATGTGCACCACCTTGACCAGCAGACGAGGGTACCCGCCAAAATAAAAGCAGACGGCCAGTGATTAGGACTAGTAAGGCATCAAGGCTGATCCCTGAACGGGGCGCGGACCGCAGGTTGGGAAACCGCACTGTGGTCTGGTGAGTTTATCAGATTCCGTGCTCCGTAATGCTATTTTTCAGAGCTACTGAAGCTTTTACAACCCCATTTTTATCAAACTGAAGTAGATGTGGTTTCATTTGAAGTGGACATTTGGTCGGTTTCTATGGCAACCAAAGCAGGGAAGAGAGACTTGTTGAAAGGTAAAAAATAAAAGGATTATATTTTTAGATGAGAGGTCCAGTTAAGGTCCTAACAATAAAGAAAACAACACGCACACACGCACACACACACACGAACATGGCCAATGAGAGTGAGAAGGGGCCGTTCCACATTTGTGTTTTTGAATGGTAAACTGAAGAGAAAAAAGCTCAGTAAACGACTGCAAACATCTGGGACTCACTTCGCCTCTTCTTTCTATTGTACTGCTCTTTCGCACTCCATCCCTCTGACGCTCCCCGTGCTGCTGGCAAAAAGGCTCCCCGAGCGAATGGGAGATTGACAAATGTGTCTGATAACAAGCACATGCTCACACACACACACACACACAATTCACGCGGACACACTTGCAAAGCCACACAGATGATTGGCAGCCGTGACATCAGTCCGTGACACACCAATGACTTTCTGTCATGACGTTTGACTGGCAGCTGGTCCTACTGGTTTGTCAGTCACTTCTTCTAAACCGTATTTTTTGAACGGCATCACCATCCCAGGCCGCGGGTTCTTCGTAGTGACCAGCTGGAGGAGCGGGACGAGGCTCACGTAGCATAGGGAGTAAATACAGGCATCAGCTGGAGGTGAAGAAAATGACCACGCTCTAATCGTGACCTTCCTGCGCTTCATTCCGCTCGCGCGTTTTCTTGCGGCGGCCTGCGTTCTCCAATCATGTCGCTCAGTGGAGCTCCAAGTTCGGCTCGGTTAAAATACTGTCGTCCGTTTTTCCTTTTGGAAGTAAATGAAGTGTTCGGCGGGTGTGATGTTTCGCACGCAGAGGCGCTCGCACACCAAACGGAGGTGAGTACACCAGAGCACGATTCCAACAGAGCGGGCCGCCGCGCATTAATTACCATAGATTGTCATGAATTCACACCGACTTGCGTTGTGAAAACGAACAGTGTGCACGAATCGTTTACGGCACGCGCGGACAATCAGAAACGTGTCGCTCGTCCCTCTTTGCTCCTCGAAGACCTTTCACCCCCCCCCTCACCTCACGGAGACCCATACTCATATCCGTACGCGCACCCCGTGCAGCCCGACCACGTGATGACGCACGTTGGCGATGGTCGTGGAGCGTCGGCTGGAGGGACGTGCGTACGTGTCAAAGATGAACACAATTGCAGACCGTTTGGAAACGCGCACACACACGCACACACACACAGACACACACGCACGGCGTCTGAGGAAGATTCACAGCTGCTGTGTGCCAGCTATATGACGACCATCTGACGTTGTGACCATGTTTCATCACCACATGATTATTCATGACGGTAGGATGGTTACCGTCACTCTCACACACACACACACACACACACAGATGATTGGCATGACTGACTGGCAGGTGGCAGCAGTTGAGATGACAGCGTGAATGAGCAAGCTGCTCATTTTAAATGGTATTTTAATCAAACTTGAACAGCACATTAAACAAATTGCATTCAGCGGTTTTACTCCTCTGACGGTAAGCCGCTTACTGAGAGAGGAAGAGAGGAATGCACTGCTAACGTCGAGGCCGTAGTTTAAAAGGTAATGGTGGAGACACACGTGTGAACCAGCCAACAACCGTCCCGCCCGGGAGTGGGGTCGAGTATCACACACCACCTCCCCTCTTCACCATTAGGCCAATCAATGCTGGCCCCGAGATGAATATGACAAATCAGCGGCGCGGACGAGATTGAACTGCGCTGAATAGCACCAATTTGCCTTCGCAGTCTACCTCCATTACACGCAATCAAACGCAGATAGGGAGCCGGAGCTGGAGGGAGCAGACCGGAGAGGGAGAAATGCAAATAGTGCAAAGTTTACGGAGGTTGGGGTTGTGAAAAGAGAGGGGGGGGGTTCCGGATATATGGCTCGATAAAGGGAGAGGAGAGGAAGGGTGGAGATGGTCGGCGGGCTCTAATCAAGGCCCTCTCATGGCGATGAGAGATGGGGGTGTAGAGGAAAGGTCGGAAATATCCGCGGGTGTGTTATATGGCTTCTTAAGGCACTTAAGGAAAGACGTGATGGGGGAATTACTGGTTAGCTGAAAGGACGGATGGGAGGAAAGGTGCGCAGAGCGGAGGCTCGCTTAGGTTAAACGGGAGAAACCCTCGAGTGTGCAGCGTAGGCTGTCCAGGCAATAATAACAGATGGTGCAGTTGATGGTGGAGGAGAGATGGATGAACGGAGAAAAGAAAGGGATTGGGCGGAACCGCCCCCCCCCCCCCCCCCCCCTCGAACTCTGCGGCACTTAAAGCATTGCTGAGATGGAAAGACAGGGCGAAAAAAAAGAAGGAGGGACCTCTTCAGGTGTCTCATTTATCGCCCTCAGAGCCGTAATGGTAAAAAGGGCGGAGGAGGATTGTGGGGAAAGACGGAGGCGGAGAGCGAACGATTGAGATCTTCAGGTGTGTAATGTGTGCATATGTGGAATACATCACGTCGGGCATGAACACAAAGGGTAAGAATGAGTCAAATGCCCACCAGATAAGTTTAAAATGTATTTTTCAGCTGATTCCCTCTCTCTTTCTCTCCTCTGCGCCACAACAGATAGCGACGCATACATATTCATGCCAAGTTGTTTTTTCTCCTGTGTCCTGAATGATTGACTTCATAGACTGAATAGCCTGTATCATATCTAAAAGTACTTCTTCAGGTTGAATTGAATTGTGGCGCATTCAAATGTTTTTAAATTGGATTACGTGCGTGGAATGATTACTTTGAATTAAAGGGTCGATTCTGCGTATTCGTAAAGAATATATATATACATATATATTTGTCATATAGTGTATTTCATTTAGGATGCTCCGAGCAGTGAAACATTTAATTTAAAAATGAATCCATACAGCAACATTGAATATAAACAGGCTTATGAATCAAGAGCACTTTTCACTCTTAACTGCACGACTATGACATCATAAAAGAAGCACCTTTGCTCTGTGCAAGAATAGTTCTCACTAGGGACTAAACCTACAAGGAAACGCAGACTGGAGTGAGAGTGAGGAAAACAGGGTGGAAAAGAGGTGAAGAAAACGGTCTTTCAAAGAAAATAACCTATTAAATCCAGTGCAATTAGTGCATATTACTCTAACTGCGTAATATTTCACTTTAAATAACATGCAATTCTGTGATACGATCTTTGCGGCAAAGTCCGACTTTGAAATCTGGAAGTGTTCTTCTGTGTTCTGGTTCACACAGACTACTTTTGTCAAGAGTGTTGTGAAGGGCAGCGGCTGGATTCTCCAGATCAAATTGCCTGCGAGTGTTTTTCTTAAGATCCGAATCTATGTAATGGACGTGCGAAATCCCTTTTAAGAAACGGCCGCGGTGGAAAAAACCCCCGATGTTAGGTAGCAATTAAGGTAGAAAGTACAAATTGTTCGTGGAAACACTCTGCCCCATTCATGCCGCGTGTCCACTTAAATGCCCCATTCACAGTGGAAGATGGAGTGTTTAAGTTAATCATATGAAATAGTTCTCACTGATAATTTGCCGCGCCTCTTAGGGAAATTGGGGCGCCGCTTTGAGAGTGGTCTTTGTGTGCTTGTGGACGCGTGACAGTGTTTCATGAGGGGGGGGAAAAGGACCTCAGTGTCCCTGTTAAAAGGTTTATCTTAGTCTGATACAGTGTGAACACACATATGCGCCCTTTCTGGCAGAGAATATACGATGTGTTTGTGGACGTGGGGCCGTGAGTCTTTGTGTCTTTGCGTTTTTGTTGTTGCGGCGATGTAGATACAGCTTACGAAATGAGCCTCAAAACAACACAGGGAGCTGTAGTTTAAGGGTTAAAAAATATCCGGATAGAAGAGATTTTAGCAGGTAGTAGTATACAGCAAGTACTGTGTTTGCCATTTTAAATAATAAACAGTACACACATAAGGCATTTGACCACAAACGCCTGATTGGGACCAACAGCTAGAAACATAATCAGGTCATCTGCTGTTTCTCAGTCACACACACACACACACACACACACACACACACACACCTTAGCAGACCAAAGCCTATTTTCTTGCTCTTCTTCTCCGTCTCCTCGGGCTCCGCCGCTTTCTTTCTCTCTTTCTCCTTCCCTTTCCCCTTGTTCTTTTCCTTCTTCTTAGCTTTCGGTTTCTTTTTCTTCTCCTTTTTGCTTTTGTCTTCCGTCCGATCCGCCAACCCCTGGCGGGACGAGCTGCTCGCAGGGGTGTCCCGGCCCGAACTGGGCTCCGAACCATCGTCTACGGCGGAGAGAAGAAGGGGACCGGAGACATGGGGATTAGATGGGAGTGCAAAATGAGGATGCACCGTGGTGCGTCCACTAGAGCATCTTTGTCAGAGCTAAACAAATAAAATCATGTATATTATATCAAAAGACACTCAAAATATTTACAACAGTGGATTCAATGGACTCTAACTAAGATTACAAATGAGGTCCTTTATGGAAATGCAAAACCTAATGAAAGATTTATGATTGGAACCCTGATCAAGAAACAATACGTGACACAAGGCAAACAAAAGGAAAAACAACAATGTACGTACTCACTACTTGAGAGCTGACACACACACGGGCCCATTATGTTGGACGTTTTCTACTCAACACATCGAGGTCGGATTTATTAACTTTACAGTGAAATAATTAGGATAAGATAATTGGAACACAGAAAAGACGGTCAGAGCATAAACTCTGAGGCCTCATTTCTTCTCCGACAGACTGGAGGGCCGGCCTTGAATAACAATGATTACACACACAGACACACACACACACACACACACACACACACACACGGAGAACACGTCAGATTTCATAAGATAAACAAACCAAATTAGTCACTTGAATTGAGATTTAACCTTGTGTGGACATTCCCTTCAGACTCAATTACAAAGGCTGTCTAGTAACCGAGTGGTATTGGAATTGTGTATTTCTGTCTGTGTGGATGTGCGTGTGCACCACACAAGTCAGTGGAAAAACAAATATATGTACAGTATATACATATATAAACTAAAAGCTCCTGTTTAAACGGTCTTCAAGGAAACGTCCAGTCATCATTGTTTGGACTCACGCATAACCATTGAGCCGACGTTGATACTGTGACACATTTAAACCACGCTGGTCCCATTCAGTCTGCAGACGCCCGTCCGTACTCTGTGTGAGTACGGAGACATGAGAAGTATTTGCTGCATTCAGCACCATAATCCATCCCAGCTGAAACGCGCCATCCGAGCCGGTGACTCAAAGCCTCTGTCCAATACTCCTCTTGACAACCAAATTTCAGTGGAAACTGTGAAGAGCTGCAGTTAGCCGGACTCGGCTCAGGATCCCTCATGAACGGTAGCATCGCGCAGAGCCGCCAGGACGTCTCCCAAAAACGGACAAATGGAAGGTGAGAACCATTTACATTAACACAGAGGAGAAGATACAATTCAAGCCCCGAGAGGAGCAGAGAAAGAAAGAGGGGGGGGGGGGGGGAGGGGGACGGGGGGCTCGGCGCGCTTCCTGTCAATTAGCAGCAGCTCGGAAAGTGCTGAACATTTAGAAAGACTGTGACAGATGTGCCAAGTGTGTGTCTGTGTGTGTGCGTGTGGCGTTGACGTGCCCTATTAGTCCTATCCTGTGTGAACGTAGTGATCTGAAACAGCCCGACTCATTACTCCAGTGGTGACTGATAAGAGCTCGCTGCTAATAACACAGCCGGGAATTGAAAAAAAAAAACCAAGAATCTACCATTTAGCTCCTGGATAAATATTTAAAGCTAGAAGCAGAACCAAACTGGATCCCCTCCTGTGAGACGATGCTGCAGCTTGGCTTCATCCGCGTTGAAGCTCTGAGCCCCGGCGCTCCTCTGGCGAGCGGTGCTGTGACTTTGCTCGCAAACGTAGTGGATTGTTTCATGCGAAACTGATCAAATGAAACAGCGGTGGCTCACCAGATTAATGTTGGGGCATTAAAGTAAGATGTGTGTCATCATTGTAGATTAATTAGACATAACTGGACACATGTCAACAGGAGCTACTGGGACCTCCCCTGATGGGGGTTTGGCCACAAGTGGAAAATGTTTCAAAGTTTCAGTGTGAAAATGAGTGGGGAATACAACACAAACGCAGAAAGGTCAACTTCAACTTCATCCCTTACCGTCCTCTTCCTCGGGTGGCCCGTCGTAGGACTTATCGATCGCTGCTCGGAAGCTCTCGTTGCAGCCTCTTCCTCTGACCATATTGGGGCGAGGTCGGTGGAAGGGGAGGAGCTCGTTGTTTCTGTTCACCTCTGACATGGCCGTCTGGAGGCTCTCCAGAGAGCTGGACTTTTTCAAGCCGAGGGTCGGGCCGAGTTCCACCGGCGCTGACGGAGACGCTGGACACGGAGAGACAAGGAGGCCGGGATCATGGAAATGCAGCAATAATAAAACTAAACCATTGGAAGGATGCAAGTCGAGTAGATATAATTCACCTCTCACGTCTATGAATGTGTTACTGCTATTGAAAACACTGCTACAGAAAAAATACAGACCACTTGTTCAGTGTGAAGACACACGGAGCACATCCTTTATTATGGGGCGAAAAGATTCAGAAAAAGAGGAAGAGCAGGTTGTGCTCCACCAGAGAAATACTCACTTTGATTCATGCTCGTGAAACCTCCCACCTCGTGTCAAAGAGCGAGGCGGTGTAATCACATTCCAGCCCACTATCTACAGCAGCACAGCCTCCACACTTGCCATCTTTCACATGAGCGAGACCTGCTCAGCATGCAGGCGGACTGGTCAACAGTGGGTTACACCTGGCTGCGCCTTGCTCTGATTGGTTTAAGTAGCCTGCGGAGACGGCGGCCGGGAGCCAGAAAGAGCGCGAGCGACGCGGCTGAGCTGTGCGGAGCGGCGCCAGGAAAACCAAAGAAACAGTGATGCAGTTAACTACGCTGTTGTTGAGTTTGTGATGGATGGGAGGTCTGCGCCACTGTTGCTGGTCCCCCATCCATCATCCCAAGGAGACGGAGAGAGATATTACTGAGGGAGGGAGGGATCCGGCAGCAGATGATGAAGAGCAGGACGGATGAGAAGAAGCGATGGTGGAGGTATTTAAGGGGGGCGAAGGTAAAGGAGCTTCACAGTACGTAATCTCTACAAGTGGTGCACAAAGCGTGCTCATCCAGCGGTTAACGGCACCCCGCTGCAGCGACCCGGCCGGAAGCTAATGACACGCTGAGGGTGGATCAGGTTTCCAGCCCACTGCGAGGGTCCCGCCTCCGGTGGGCATCGCCGGTCGAAAAAAAAGGGAAAGGGTAATGTGCGCTTTTAGCGTTTTGGTTTGTCGCTGTGTGACACCTCAAACGGGGGAGACACGGATGGTGGGCAAGACGGGGGAGAAGAGGGAGGGAGGGGGCGGAGGAGCGGCGGCAGGCGGAGAGCAAATTAAGTCTCCTCGGGGGAATACCACGGTGGCAGAGAAGGAGACGGAGAGAAATGGGGTAGAAGGGAGAAAGGCTGGGCTCACTGCCAGCTCAAAATACTGGTAATCCTCACACACACACACACACACACACACACACACACACACACACACACACACACACACACTTTGGATTCCTTGCCAGCTCCGGCTTGTCGATATGATGCCACTGTGATTCATGATAGCAAAACCTGCATCACTTTAGCTAATGATTCTCTATCCACACAGCTCCTGTGTGTGTGTGTGTGTGTGTGTGTGTGTTTTTACTCAATGCGTAGGAGATGAGAGAGCTGATGTGACTTTCACATCTCTTTAAACAACCATTAAATAAACACACACACACACACAAAGGGTAATAAGGTGCAGAGAATGCATGCACATACGTAATGTAAGTCTGCGGCTCGGAGAGGAGACGGACGAGGGCCGTGACGTGTGACACTTGCATCCATAAACACAGCGTGCATGACATTCAGATACACAGCGAGCGCTGCGCGTGATGCAGGTGCTGTGTGAAGAATCTCTATGGAATCCAGCAGCTGGAGTCTGGCCTGATGCTGGAGTTTACTTATACAGATCTAAGAAGTTGTCTTGGGAGCAGCAGAAACTGCTCACATCCACGGATGTCCCCTCGGAGCAACAAAGCGGACTTGGTACAGAAGACTGTCGACATAATTCAACTCAAATGTCTATGAACGTGTTACTGTTGTGTACTGCAACAGTAAAACAAATACAGACCACGTGTTCAGCATGTGGACACACTGATTACAAACTCTGTATTAGGAAAAAGATTTAGAAAAACAGGAAGAGCAGGTTGTGCTCCATCAGAGAAATACTCACTTTGATTCATGGTCATGAAGCCTCCCACCCCATGTCACAGAGGGGAGGGGGGGGGGGCAGTGTAATCACATTCGGGTCTGCTCTCTACAGCAGCACAGCCTTCACACTACACACACACACACACACACACACACACACACACACACACACACACACCATCTTTGATGAGCGAGACCTTTTTCTCAAGCCATCTTCATCAGGAAAATAAATCCCGGGCACCCGGCCGGGCGAACGTTTTCAGCGTGTTATAGGGGGATACTAACTTCGTTATGAACTGTAACACATCTGCACGGGAGCATCTGTATTCGTCTGTATTTGACTCCCGGGGAGCGACTTAATAACTTCCAGAGGCTTAACGGGACTGTGGGCATGTGGCCTGAAGCGAGGCGGAGCCATACCCAAAGGCCCATAGAGCACGACGGGCTCCTCAATCGGAGAAGAAAGTGGCTTTAAAAAAAATAAAACAGCTATTTTTAAAAGACGCATGCCGCATATGCAAAACAGATAAATAAAAGTCTATTCCGGGGCCGAGCGTGGCGCGTATTCCAAAATGGATGATCCACCAAAAGGCCGCCAAGGACGGCGGATTAGAGCTGCCAGTGACATTTGAGCCGAGGCCACCGCATGAAAAATAGCGTGAAAAAAAACACTTTTTGATGCATTATTCCTTCTCACACTCTCATCAGAGAACTCCTCCAGCCAACATGTTTGCCGTCGCCAACAACGCTGTGAAGCCTCCGGCGCGCGGTCACAATACATCGGTAATCCAGCACGCTGAGATGTGTCAGTGTTTAGTCACGCATTGCTTTCTGTAGATTAATGCACTCCGTGTGAAGAAATAGGCCTGTGAGCACAGCGTAAGCAGGCGGGGGTCATCGTCCACTGGGGGGGGGGGGATCTACGGCGCTCGGTTTAGGGCGGTTTTTAGGAGAACACACGTGTACACACACTGTGACCCCAGAGTCTGTTTGCAGAAATAAATAGCGTTATAAATAGCTTAGTGATGTTGGGCTGAACCAGAACACACACACACACACACACACACACTGGGTGATGACCATGCATCTACATACTCGTACATGAGAAAATACACACTTTCTCTCTCTCTCTCAAACACACACACACACACACACACACACACACACACACACACACACACACACACACACACACACAGAGTATTTTGCTGTGAGTAGCAGGATTTGTGTCATAAATGTAATTACTTCCGTCCAACTGTAAGATGATAGAATTAAGCTGCTTTTAGAGAGCGAGAGAGAGAGAGAGAGGATGACAAGCAAGACAAGAGTAACAAAGTGGTTTGAGGGGGGTGGGGGGGGGCGATAGTGGGGGGCTGGCAGAGAGAAACAGGCGCGGTGAGAGGACGCTACAGAAAGAGAAGAGCGAGAGAAAATCAAACGGGGGAACAGCAAGCTATCCCAGGGCTACTTGGTTGGCAGGAAGGCAACGGGCTACTTGGAAAGTCAAAATGGCTCCGAGGAGCGGCTTGGCAGCCGGCCGCCGCGGCACAGCCAGCAGATTCGACTGCGGCAACGACGTCTCTGCAGTCCCCTGAAGCGCACGTTGGAGGCTCTCGTAAGGGGATGAGGCTCGGTCTCACTCTTCTATTTCTGCATCGTACAGACCCGGGGCCTTTGTGTTCAGCGAGAGGATTTAGCTTCTCTTAACGTCCCATCGGGGGGGGGCGGAGTTCCCTCACTTCAGCAGAATAAAGCGTGTGGAAGAAAACAGAATAGTGGGACCCGTCTATGAATGCATGTTTCAGAGGACACTTACTGAATACTTGTGCCGTGTATAACGTGTGCGTTATGAGGTCAACGGTGCACACGAGTGAGAGTCTACGAGAGGGAAGATTGTGAAGAGTGTGTGTGTGTGTGTGTGTGTGTGCGTGTGTGTGTGTGTGTGTGCGTGTTCGATGAAGATCTCCATAATGATTGAGCGAGTATCATCAATTGCAAAAGAAATACTTGGAGAACATAACCCAACTACAAGGTAGCGGTCCTGATAACAACTGTAGTCCTTTCGATATTGTGAAGCAGGACAATGTCCTCAGCCACATTCTAGCTGCGGAGACAGACACGTAGTACGTGTAGAAATGTCAGAAATACACTGATTGTAGTGTACCTGAAATGCGTCTCTGGAAAAGAACAATTCAGCTTGTCCACAGTGAGCGGAAACAAGCCTCAGTGAACGAATGTCAGTGCCGTGTCCTATAAGTGAGATGGGTCGCCCCCCCCTCTCCCCCCTCCCTCCCTCCCTCCCTCATGCGCCACACGGCGTACAGCACCGTGCACGTCAGTGATCAGTGTCTCCGGCCTGATGGAGACGAATGGCTCCGCCCGCACCAGGCGACAGCGCTGACCATCTCCTGATTACTGCTCACCTTTATTGGCTTACTGCGGGAGATGGAGGGGGGGGCGGGGGGGTTAAAGGCCATTCAATACACAAGAGAGTACACGCAGAAGACGGGGAAACGCCCGAGTGCGCTAAACACATCTGACGGAGCGCGGGTGTATGTAAGTATGAAGGCAATGAGGGTGGAGAGGGGGCGGGCGTGGGGGGGGGGCTGCTTGGTTCAGCCCTTCGCGTGCTGCGTTGAGGGGAACCGGCGCGGAGGGCGAATTATTCCGTCGATCCGCAGCGGCCTAACGAGGTGGCCGGCGGGTTAAATCCACAGCGACGGAGAAAACAATGAAGAGGGACGAATAAAGGGAAGGAAAATGAAGAGACAACCATAGAGAGAGAGGAGGGGGGGGAGGGGGGGCTCTCTAAAGACACCGTCTTGGCAGAATCTTGTGTGCCGTATTCAAAGTCAAAGTTCCACGAGGGACAGATCCAGACAATGGACGCAGCTCGTTCTAAGCTCCTCGGCCTGTTCGTCAGCCGCTAAGCCTGAATGGCGTTGGCAAGGAAGAGAGTGAGCGAGAGAGCTACAGGCTGACGGAGAGAGAGAGAGAGAGAGAGTTGTTGGTACGACGGTGCAAACTTCCACAGAAGCAGACGGGCATTTTCGCTGGGGAGAATTACCCGCTGGCGCTTGCCGTGGTCGCGTGGCGGTTGTGCACGGGAGCGAGTCCTCACAAGTGAAGACGAATGCTTCCAGACAACGAGAGACCATCCGGCACCGGTGCAACTGTTACGACGCCCACACACACACACACACCTTCTCCCCCCCAAATGCTTATTACCACTCCTGTTGGATATGCATGGCTCAATAGGAACACGAGTCTGAACGAGGACCCCGAATGTTTCACACTTGGAGCATCTCTTCTGTCACTGCGTCTGGATTTCGTGCGTTTCTTCTTTCCGCTGCTGATTTGATTCATTACCGGAACGTCGCACACGCAGACACAAACACACACGACATCCCAGCATTTCCGTCTCCCTGTTTCATTCAGCATGTGAGAACTAGTTTACTGATGGCTGTTTGAAAAATTGGCTGCGCTGCAGCCGCGGCACTCGGGAAATGCATTCAGTCCCCAAAACACACTCAGTCACACAAACCTGCTTATTTCGCATAAACAATATATAATACGGTCTCCCATTTCGGTCTCTTTGCATCTCAATTTCCTGCTGAATTATAATATAATATGAAATCTTTCAGGATTCACATTTTCCACATGACGAAGGAGACATTCCATTACCATAGCTCTACTCGAACGGTAATGGTTGCATCAACGTGCGCGCGTGTGTGTGTGTGTGTGTGTGTGTGTGTGTGTGTGTGTGTGTAGCGGTTTTCTGTGGTGTGTGGAGGGGAAGACCATAGCTGAAAGTTTCCCAGAAGTCATTGTCTTCAGACTCCTCGCTGGCCGAGACCCAGACCCGTCTCCCCGAGTCCCTGCAGCTGCCGTCTCAGCGCCGAGTTATTAGTTATAAAAGATACATTTGAGCCGAGGGGAGCCGGGAGGTTTGGAAAGAACTCTGCCGCTTGCCAGGCACGCACTCTCTTTAACGGCCCTCTGGGCCTCCCGGCCTCGTAAAGCAGGAAGCACGTTGACACGCAACAGGTACAGGAGGAAGAGGGCCGCGTAAATATTATCAAGTCGGCAAATTACCAGGAAGAATCGGCTACGACTAGAAAGCTCGGTTATGGGTGAAAATCGGTCAGCCGCCACGTGGTAAGATGGAGATATCAGCGGAAGTGCATGAGAATATGATTATTATACAGCATTAAGTTGTCCCCGGGGGCCCTTTGACATGTTCATCAGCCCGGGCTTTACACCTCCTCTCTAAGTCCGGACCTCCTCCCACTCAGAGGACGGGCGCACCGACAGCTGGAAGCCATTCACAGTTGTTCGGGCTCTTTGGTTTTCTGACGCGCCAATGTTCCATCAGAGGAAATCAAATCTGTCGACGACGACACCGGCGGGATTCAATCTGCTGGAAACCAGAAGCTTTTGTTCAGCAACACGCAAACATAATCGATGACATTAGAGCGGTGCCATTTTCTGTTTTGTTTCATTCAGAACTCAATCCCTCTGAAGTAACCCCCCCCCCTGCTTTCCCGTTCGTACGTACCTCGTGAAGAACACATTTAAGCGCTGTTCCGAGCTCCGGCTCCGGAGCTACGGAGCCAGGATGGGAAACCGAAAACTCACCGCCAATCTGCTCAGCTGTTTGACGATGAAAGGCCTCAATGTTTTACGAGGGGGGGGGGGGGGCGGCTCCCATAAAAAAATTGCCGAAAATCCCCGGCCTCATTCTTTTCCCAATCTCCTCATATCACCTTTTTTCTTGGTGCCTTTACAGGGGTTTGTGGGGCGAGGACATGAAAGTTAGCCCCCGCTCTAACGGCCCCCCCCCCACCGTGGAGGAAAAAGTGGGGAAAAAGCCCCGTCTGATTGACACAAATTAAATGGCGGACGGCGGGACACGCGGATTGGAAACAGCTTGAGTGCTCCTTACTTTCGAAGAGCTCCAAATAAAGTGTGGCGCCAGGCTGAGATGAGGACGTTTGAGGGCATCACTTGTCTTCGGTGTTCCCTACTTTCCACGAAGAGGTCCTCTCCTAATTCTGAGATTCGGTTCTCCGGCTTTCACAAGTTGGGCGGTCCTACCGGGCTTTTCTCTTCTCTCTCTCGGGCTTTCTCAATGCAAATCGAACTTTCATTTGCACTTCCACAGAATGAAGGGGATATTCATAGGAGGAGGAGAGTAGGGGTTCAGGAGACAGAGAAGGAGGGATGCAGGGAGAAATCCAGCATCCAGCTGAGTGATGAGGATGAGGATGATGATGATGATGGGGAGACAGAGAACCACCTGGGGTTGTTTTTAAAGATAAATAACCAATTTCTTTCTTAAAAAATAAAATACATACAGACACAAACATCTTCCCACACTCTGAGCTGGCAGAAAGAAACGGTGGCCGTGTGAAAGTGTACAATAGGTCAGCGGTTGGTGAATGAGTGTGTGTGTGTGTGTGAGTTGGACTGACCTGCATCCAGGGACCTCATGTTGCTCTCATCTGCCACTGAAACCAAAGGAACACGTGTTATTACATCACCCTCTGCATTCCCTTCGCTTTTTTATTCCTTTGGCAGACACATGCAAACATTGAACTGCCCCCGTGTTTCTTATCTACATTACTTCTGATCTCATTGCACCCCCCCCCCCCCCCCCCCCCCCCACACACACACACACACACACTCTCCCCCCCTCCATGTTTTTCTTGCCTGGTTTTACGAGACGGTGCAGCAGCTTTTCCTTTCTCCTGTGATGTTTGTTTGGATTTGGTGCTACTGAAGTCATTTCCCTTCCTCCCTTCTCTCTCACTTCATTTGTCACCCCCCCCCCCCCCCCCCCCCCGGCCTTCTAGCCACCATCCCTCAATCTCCCCCCTTGACCTTCTGCCCTTCACCCTCACATCTCCCAATGTTTTCCTTTTTCCTTCAGTTACATCGGATCCATCCAGCAGTGCTCTCCTCCCTCCGTCCCTCCTTTGATCAGCGCGCTCGCCATCACTGCTCCTTGTTAATCCTCCTTTCACTTTACGTCTCCCCCAGTCTTCCTTTTGCTTTTTCACCCCCCTCCGCCCCATCCCACTCTTTCCTAAAGCCCCAAAAAAACAACTATACACTCACACTCACACACACACACACACACACACACACACACACACATACTCTGACCACAAAAACCAGGGAGTAATACGACTTCTCGCAGCAAATGCTTGTCTAATGAAAAACAAGCCTGGAGAGTAATTTGAGCCGTGTGTGTGTGTGTGTGTGTGTGTCTGACGGCATCTGTCTGCGGTGAGTCGACAGGACTGCGTCAGCCGGCCGGTCCGCTGTGTGCGTGTGTGTGTGTGTGTGTGTGTGTGTGTGTGTGTGTGTGTGTGTGGCTGCGTTGGCAGAGGATGGAAGAGCGAGAAGTAACAGCAGTTCACCGCTTGGCACTGGCATTGAATTATTAAGGAAAGACAAAGAAAGTAACTCGCTCAGGCCAACACACACCAGACAGCACCGACCCTCATCATGTCTCAGAATGTAGATCTCACAATCGGAGGCGGGGTGGTGTAGTGGCCCCTGGACCCCGGTATTGCTGGGTAAAAGTCAAATCTAAACGGGCGTCGGGCACTTTGGGAGCTATCGGGTTTGTGACGTCGGAGCAATCGGTGCTCCGGGACGGGACGGAGGGCGGGCAGAGAGGGGGAGAGATGTCAGGTCCTCAAAACACGCACGTTAACCAAAGATCTGTGCAGGCTGTACTGTCACCAACGAATGACAGGCAGCGAGACAGAGACGGGTTACTAAGCTGTTATTACCGCGCCTGATGGTTTGGCGTTGACAACGTGCCATCTGAGGAGGCAGGAATTAAATCTTTATTTGTTTGTTGCACATTTAGCAAAGTTCAAGTGTGTAAAATACAAAGGGAGGGGGGGGGTGGTGCAGACGTACAGCACACACCGCTCAACTGGTCTCCATCTTTTTTTTGTCTGATTGTCTCTGACACACACAGACACACACAGCTGGCGGTAGAAGCAGCTCGAGGAGGAGAACTGAGGGAAGTGACATTTGAGACAATATGCTTTGGTTGTGCTGCACCATCTGCACCACCGTCATATGAACCAGATGTTTGCATCGCCTCAGACAGACACACGTGCGCTACACGCATTTCTAATGTTGACATTTTTAACAATCACTGAAATGTCAGTGAGCCCTCGCAGAGAGCGCATCGGTAATCAGAGAGCAACAGGTGACAAAGCGGCTTGTGGGAGGCCGGATGGAAAAGGTAACAAAGTCTTTTCCCGCACAAATTGAAAGACTAAAATGAAGGTGAATTAGAATCATCCATCGTCACTGACATTTAGACTTGATAGGAAAGGAGAGGAGGAAGCCGTTGCTGCTCCTTACGTTCCTACAGGGACACAAGTGAGACAATCAGCCGCCGCTCCGCTTCCGGGAAACCACGCAGCATGCATGCGTGGTTCCCCGCCTGCGTGTGCAGCTGTGTGTGCCGCGTGCGTGTGGTCGAACGCGCCTGCATGCGGCTTTTTTGGGGGTGCAGCAGCCATGCATTGCACTTCGGCGAGGACGAGGAGCATGCTGCCGCCATGCAGAGCGGATCAACAGAAGAGGTCTCCCCACCAGTGTGCTGCTGGTTCTGAGTCGTACCCAGGTCCATGCTCTTGGAGGCTTTGACGTGCTGGAAGTGGCGCTGGCTCCGGTTCTGGGCGGGACACTGCGGCTGGGCCGGGCCAGAGGTGTGGAAGCTTCCTCTGAAACACACAAATCGTTGGTTTCATTTTCATTGCAACTACTTAAAGCTGCCTCGTCCACTTGTGTCCTTAGTCGTGGTTGTTACACATTAGCGTATCACTCACATCACTCTGTGTGGTAACTTGTGTTCAACATTCACAGCCACAAACCTCTCCTGGAGATCAGAGTGGTGCTTGGAGCTGCTGAAGTCTGTCTCATGTGCGTAGAGCTCCCCCTCCTCGTCCTCGTCCATGAAAGAGAGACTCCCATTGGTCGCTGAAAAGAAAAACAACACAGAGCCGATGTGATGCCGCACGTTTTTAATAACTTGCTTGAATTAATTTGGGTGATAATAAATACTGACGTATCTCATTTCCACACTGTGCATTCATATGCTAAGCGTGTTTGGAACACACGGAAATTCCTCACAACGCAAACTTTCTTTCTTGACTTTCTGGACCTAGCGCGGCGAGCGCATTTAAAACGTGTCTCGACTTCTCAGTCTTTGCTGTCTCACGTCATCTTGTCCATTTCAAAAAATACTTAGTAGAAGTCCTTGTTACCAGGGAACATAAAAAAAAGATATTTCATTCCTAATTTCATATTTTATCTTACTGTGAAAACATCTCCTTCACAAAACAATTTGTTTGTTTGCCAAAATTCTTCATGCCGGCATAATAATTAACTTTTGCCATCCTTCATAATGCAACTCAGTGTGCAGAGAAGCAAATGTACACTTTGAATCATTCAACCATTTACTGAACTCCCCTTCCCTCCTGTCCAGTCACTATCAAATAAAGGCATTATTGGGTCTTTTTGTCTACTGCAAAAAACACCGTTGGCCTTCAACACCTTCAACCACAAAAGGGTGTCGGGAGCGTCACGGACACGCTCAACAACAACTCCGCTGACAAAAAAAACCACAACTGGAGAAAGACAAACGGAGAGATGAGCCGGCGGATGAGGACGAGGACAAAGGGAACAGAAAGAGGACGGACGCGGCGGCGGCGGCACAGATGCAGCTCAGCGATGCGCCCGCGTCTGCCTGACGAACGAGTCCGTGACAACCCGATACGCCACCGCGGCGCCGCTTGCGCGCAGTCATCACTTGTATCGCGGCACGCGCGACCGAAAGGGAAGCTGCCGGGGAGGAAAACAGGCGCGTCTGAAGATATCACTTCCCCTCCCCCCCACCGCTCTCTGCACTAATCACCTGCTCTATTTTCCTTCTGGTCCCGTTCTTGCAATCGGATATTTGGTCTGTCATCTATCTCTCCTCTCAGATCTCCCATAAATCATTTTATCTCCCACTTGGTTTCCAGCTCTTTTTTTTTTTCTTTCTAAACTTTCTCCCTCCTCCTCCTCACTGCAGGCACCTTAATCAGCAGAACTGTCAAAAACACTTTCTTCTTTCACCTCAAACTCACTCACACTTTCACTCTTTGTCACACACACACACACACACACACACACACACACACACACACTCACACGAATTGTTCTCACTGACTCCCACTCTTTGAAGTGAAAAATTGCATTTGTTGTGCAGAGAGTAGATCAATGGCAGTTTGCTCCCATAGCAGATATATAAATCCTTTTGCAACTGCACTTTTTCTTCCTTCCATCTGTATTAGTCTGCAACGTGTGCTCATCTTTCTCTAAACCACCCCCCCCCCTCCCGTCCCCGTGAGGTGAAGCCAATGTGCCACACACATGAATCTCAGGGCCTTTCACTTCATGTCCCGTAATGCCGATTGATGACTTTCTCAAATCTCAATGTCCGCCTGATAAATGTCTTTCAAACTCTACATATCAAGGAAAAAAAAAACAGTAAGTAATGACACAACTCCGATGACAACATCATGGTGCGAAGATATCATACAAGTGGTTTTACAAGCTGAGTGGCAGCGAGTGTGTGAAACCAGTGAAACCAGTGCTCCCATAGCTAGGCTCTAATAGAGTGGTGATACTTTGATTTTACAACACAATCAGTTTGCTTCGTTGACAACAATCGGGAAGACGGAACCATATTTGAAACCGGACCTAAAACTGTATTTTTTTCTAGTTGACGCCAAGAAGCAGATGAACTCTCCAGAGAGACAAAGTGAGGGGAAGACAAAAAGAGTGAGAGAGAGGAAGAATCACGCCGGCAGAGGGGACGAGATAAAGAGGCTGATCTAGAAATGCAAAAATAACACATCTGCATAAATACATATTGCAGGGAATCATTAAACCCAATTTATTCTCCTGCAAAAGCACACGTGGATGCAAGAGAATCATTTCTTCGTTTTCATTTGGACTTCAGTGCAAAATAAAACGGATTCACTGTGTGAGATAGTTCACTTGCTCCGACCGATAACATCTCACACACTCACAACAACTCACAGGGCCTGAGAAATGTGCTTACTGTGCGCCGTGCACACACGTGTGTGTATGTAAATCACACCGTGGCCGGGGCGAATTTGAACAGCAAAGTGTATTCAAGGTCAGAGCTGTTTACCACATTCCCAGTAAACACACAAAAAGCACACTGTTTGATACTGGCCAACAATCCCTGAACCAACACACACACACACACACACACACACACACACACACACACACACGGAAGCCTTGGACTCATTTCTGGACAGGCTCAGATATCATTGGGTAACAAACATATGAATTTGCACACTTTTTAAGCAAACCTGAACCCACACAGGAAGATAAAACAGGGAGGACAACACAAGCATGTATCGAGTGACACAAGCTGATACACACACGCACACGTGCAGATGATGTAGGAGCAGGAAGCAGGAACAGAAATAACTCTTTATAGCGGAGCAAACCGAGCAATAACTAACAACCAGGACAACCTTGAGAGAGATGAGAGGAGGAAATGAGGAGTCTCATTTACGGCTCCGTGCGGACGGCGATCGTATCGCTTGTGTTCAGTTTGTTTTATCTTGCACACTGTTTGTTTTTCATGATTGTGAAACTTATTTAGTGTTTTGCTGAAATGCGATGCACAAAACAACAATAAAAGAGAATCATGTTCAGGTTAAATCAGATATGGAACATTGTTCCAGTCCTCTGGATAAAACCTCCACTTTATTTGAACTATTTTAAATAGTTTTTATATCTATTAGATTATACCCTGTGTGATCACTGTTGTGTAAAGTAAAAAATGCAACACATACCATCTTTAACACCTTGAATAAATTAACTACAACTTTGGTGAATATGTTCCTCCCTGGGTGAGGTTATCTTCAAGCTTTTATTATTATTTTACTTTATTGAAAAGCGTCAGATAAATGAAATGTCATGTAATTGAAGTCCAACACCCCAGGCCTTTTCTCAATCGCCAAAAATTACAAATATATGAAAAAAAACCTTTGCTGTGTGTGTTTCAGAGACGAGGTAAGAGGGGACGGGGGACAGAAGGAGCGACCGTGTCTCACCCGCCGGTGAGCCACCATGTCCACTCACCACTAGAGGCGTAGAGGGCGTTGTTCACCATGGGGGGTCCCGACTGGCCAGAGCAGCTGTCGAACGAGCGATCGGGTGATGCACCGCGTTGGTCCTGAAACAGGGAGGAACTGCATTTATCACACAGGCAGATATCAACGTCCTGAAACGGCAAGAAACACGTTAGCCAAATGTTTGTTGTGTTTTTTTTTTTTTTGGTGTGTGTGGTTTGCATATGGATGGGGCGAGGGGTAATGGGGGAGAGGGGGAGGGGCTTCAGAGCCGTCTATTCAAACACAATTACACGTCGAGGAGGAAGATTAAAGGGAAGAAGGGAGACATTTAAAAGACGGCGGGGGGGATCAAGGCGAAAGAGGGGAGCGCTCTTCCCACGGCCCATCGGGTTGTGTGACGGTGTTTAGCAGCGCTCACTGTGTGTGTGGCAACGACAGTCACACCGACAACGAGCACCTCTAAGGGCCCTGGGACAATGTGTTGACGCGGCTCTTTGTGCGTGTCTTATCTTTTATTTATACTCCCTGTGTGTGTGTGTGTGTGTGTGTGTACCAAGCCATTAGCATGTGGACGTAATGAATTCAGCGGCGTATTCTGTATATGGACTCGGGCCTCCTCTCCAACAACAAAGGACACACATCGGTAAGAAACCCCCCCTCGTCACCTTCTTCTTGAGTCGCCCTCCCGCCGAGCTCAAACTGCTTCCTGCTTTCCCGCCCGGCTTCTCTCCCCAGCTCGAGCCCAGGACACATCACTCTTCAATGTGTCAGAGGTCCTCGGGGACCCCTGGGACCCCTCCCCCCCCCCCACCTCCCAGCACACATCACCCATTAGACAGTGAGGTACTGCAATCAGATCCGTCTCCAAAAAAGGCGTTTTTACAAGGGGGGCGGGGCTTAGAATAAGCTTCTGCCCGATGCCTCGCGTGCGTCAGTCTGTTGATCTGAACAATCCAACCCTTTACGAATGAGAGGGAAAGTTAGCTACAATTGAGCGAAATAGACAAAGCGTTTACATGTGAGGCGGCTGTAAACACAGCGCTCCATGGAACCCGCGTGGAGCGTACTCATGGCGGGTAAAAGGGCTGTTTGGGTCGTTACCAAAGGAAAAGAGCAGCGGCCTAAAGTGAGAGATTAGAGACAGCCGGCCGATGGATGAATGCAGCAGGAAGAAATGAGTGAGCAAAAGGGGGAAAGGACATTGAGCAGAAAAAGGAAGAAGGAAAAAAAAAAAAAGGTAGAGTGGTCCACTTGTGAAATGTTAAAAGCATCAATACTGAAGCCCTGAAAGGCTTTAAAGTAGCATACAGTCTCTCATCTATCTGCTTTTATCTCCCTCTCTTTCTATCCTTTCTCTTGCACTCTTAAGAAGAAGAGGGGAACATGGATGCCACTCTTTGATGTTGCCAACAGCTTTCCCCATCAAGCTATTGACAGTGAATGCCCTGCAAAGCCGAGCACACCGCTAAACGCACAAGTACGCCCGGTATTATTAAGCACAATTACCTGAAACTAACGCAGCTCGATACAACAGGCTCACAGTAAGTCCAGCCCTCGCCACGGTACGAAAGCAGACTTTTCACAGAAGGCTGCAGCCCGCGGTGCTATTGAACTCCAACCACTTCATCCTGCGAGGCATTGCTAGTTTTCCGCCCAACCCAATTATGTCAAGAAAGGGAATTACAGTAATTACATTCTCAGAAATAAGGTTACTCAAGGGTTTCTTCATTAAAGGTTCTAACAGGACCGTTTGCCTCTGGTGCACATTTTCTCAGAAGCAACGGGGTAAATAAAGGGGTTTCTGTAAGAAACTGGACTGAACATCTCACTGGAGGAAGTACAAGAATTAACAATAAGGTTAGAAGGGTTAGAATTATCTACGTGGAGCCAAAGACGGGTTCGCCCTTTGCGGACAACCCGCAGCACCCTTTGAAGTCCTGAACCCTGTGGGTTATCGAGTGTTATCGGTGCCTGCGAGTGCGCACGCCGCGCAGGGTGATTAGTGTAGGCTGCTTTGTGACCCGCCACCAGTAGGGATACAACAAGCCTGCTTTGTTGGTGCCAAGGTTTTTGTACAAACGTTCTTCAGAGTAAAAGGCATCAGCTGAAAGGCAGCTGAAGTGAAAGGAATCTTTTTGTTACTCGGAAAGAGACACAGCTGAGTGAAGAACACTCTGTATATAACACACACACACACACACGCACAAAGACAGACAGAAATCTGAATAGCTAAAGTGTAAATGCTTTTTCGCTGCTGCTAGTAGGAGACTAGTGTCAAGTGTGTGGGGAATGAAAGGAAGGGCTAAAAGTCAAAGGCAAGTAGAATGCATGAGAAAAGAGAGAGAGAGGCTAGGAGACACGGAAGGGAGATGAGAGAAGTACGCATGTTTGTACGCTCATTCTAACCTGGATTCTGTTCATGTCAGACAATAAAAAGACACGGCGAAGCCTGTTAGTGATGCATTTAGCGCAGGAAGTGTCTCATCTGAATCTATCCGCTGAAACGGCTCTATATGTGCATCATCTGGTTTGCGTGTTTACAGACGCGCCACGAAAAACAGTCCGTCTGTGACTTTCACTCGGCCCACAAAAGCAAGCTTTAAAACATGTTCAATAAAAAGGCTTGTTCGCTAGGGTTAGTTTGAAGTGGTGAGAGTACATTTTGGAAAGCGGCAGCATCCCAGTGACGGCAGCGTGCGCTTTGTTTACTCCTCTTTTATCACCAAAGAGGTGAGAAGAGCTGCGACAATTAGAACTATTGGAACAGCAGAAAAATTATCGACAATTATTTTCAAAATCTACTTTTGTCAAAGTGAAATTTAATGCGACGAGGAAAATTGCTTTCAGCCTAGATAGATGTCCTGCTTTTCTCTCTGTTTGTGTTTTACGATGTGTGTGTGTGTGTGTGTGTGTGTGTGTGTGTGTGTGTGTGTGTGTGTGTGTGTGTACCTTGAGCGCCCTCAGCACCACTAGTTGGGATCGTCGCTCTTATGTTTCTTTCCTGTGACATAGAGCGGCGGAGCGTCTCCATGGCGACATGATTGGACCTTCCCATAAGCGACTCTCCGTTCACCGCTACCATCTGGTCATTGACCTGCAGACGGCCATCCTGTGAAGCACGCACACACACACACACACACACACATCCAGTTGGATTCAGACCATTTGTGCATTTGCAGGGCGCCGGATTTCAGAGTTGTGCGTGTTGTACAAGTGAAAGTCTGTGGTGGATTTAAGGAACATGGAACCATGTGGGTTTGTGTACACCAGCGCTCCATCCACGTGTCCTTGTGCTGTTGTTTCTCCCTGTCTAACAATGGGACTGATGTCCCTAATGGCTCTAATCACTGAGCTATTGATAGGGCGCCATTGTATACATGCACACACACACACACACACACACAGACTAACATCCATCAGCTCCATGTGTCTTACCTCCCTTGTGTGTCTGTGCAAAGATACTAAGCAGTGTGCGTTTGTCCGTCTCTTTGCGGTCTGTGAGGAGTCAAGTGTGTCCCGGTGAGCCGGGGGTCAGAGGTCAACAGAACAGGAGCACGTGGCAGTGACAGCTGAGGTGTCCCCCAGAAGAACGCCACATAAACAATGAGTTCCGTCGTGACGTATGAGACTCCTCCCGTCACCTTGTACGCCGCCCCGCCGTGGATGACGGACTTGATGAAGATGCCCAGGTCCTCTCCCGTCTCCCTGGACTTGTTCCCCTTGAGGCTGATGCCCAGGCCCGCCGAGCCGGTGTCGTTGAGGGGCACCTCGAACATGAGCTGCTCCTTCCCGCTCTCCGGCACGAAGCCAGTCAGACGGCACAGCTCGTCCTTCTGGGAGGGACGGGGAGAGACGGTGATGGGGACGAGAGAAGGGTGGGAACACGGGGAGGAGAGTGAGGTCAGCTCATTGGGCTTCAATATTTTCAAAAAAAAAAAAAAAAAACCCTAAAAGCTTTTCCATTTGAGAGAAACCATCACAAGGAGCTTTCAGCTAAATTCCCCCCCCGAGTGAAAAATTGCAGCCGGAGGATATTTCCAAAAAAACAATACAAAAGAAAAGCCATTTGGACTGCTATCTACGCATTCCTTTTCTATTCTCTGCCCTGCAATAGCAATAAAATAACCTGTGCATCTCACAGAGGTAATTGTAGAATACGGCGCACACAGAGACACGCAAAGTAGTGAGACGGAGGGAATACAGCGAGAGGACAGAGAGAGTGCACAACAGACAGAGAAACAAGGACCCCAGGAAGAAAAACTAGCATCAACACGCGGGTTTGGCAGTAATGACATCAGACGAGGACGTCTCGGGAAGAAAGAAACAACGAGCGAATCCCTTCGGATGAAAGTGTGCGTTTGAAGTATGAATCACGCTGCAGTGTAATGGAACCCATGAGAAGGTATCTGACCTCCTCCACCCATCAAGTGTCTGCCTCGGAACAGTTCAGTTAATGTTTCTAAAACGTCAACGCGATGTGATCAGCAAGTAAGATGACAAACAGACGGAGGGTTGTACGAGAGAAAATATCTAAAAAACACCACCATAGTTAAGAAGGATTTATCTTTACAATGTAAGGGCGCCGATATGAGTGAGTGGACGGGCGCTGTTATGGACCCGGACAGGATGGCGTTTGGTCTCATGACGTATCAGAGACTTTTTAATGAAAAGCCCCTCCTTCTTCCAAGTGAAGAAAATAAAATAAAAAATAACACCCGCAAACACAGAATAGGTTTGCTTGGTTTACAGGTTTTTAGCATTGTGTTGTGTGTCCTTGCAAACCAAAGTTACACATGTTGAAGTCCATTGGTGTGTGTGTGTGTGTGTGTTTGTTCTTGTCAGACGTGGTTGCACGTGCTTATAGAAAGTCAGTCGGGCGCCAGGCTTCGGTCCGCCTGTCTCTGTGTGTGCGTGCACGGAGTTGTGTGTTTGTGTGGGTCAGCAGTGTCAGGTTTAGACGGTGTTTGTCTGCGGGGATTGTAGGTTTAACAGCGTTAAGCCGACACAAAGTCCTCTACTACGCAGAAAACTGTTTTTCCCGCTGGAAACTCATCAGACCGACTGTCCGTACCTGATAGGAAGCTCTGCGACCTTGGAGAGAGCTGTTGCCTACTTTCCGCACATGATTACATTAAGTATGTAGGGGGGGGGGGGGGGTTGTTGGCCTCAGAAATTGTGTCCAAAGTAATGTTTGTGATTTAACGACTTCTTAACGTTTTTTTTTGCCACCATTTGTTGCTGATCCGATCAAACGTCCGCGCCTTGTTAATTTATGATTTGTTTTCTTGCACTCAGCATTGGGACACAATGAATCAGCAAGAGGAGGACGGCTGCAGAAAGAAGTTTTGAAGCAGCAGCTTTGGGGGTCAGGGCCCCCCACAGGGCCGTGAGATGCTTTATGGTATCTGACAATACGATACAAGTGCATTGAGAACGAAGCACAAAATTAAACAACCTGGAAAAAAACCCCACAAAGGACTGGACGAGGACGCAGACAAAATGTGAGTGCACGACGTAATTTCATGCAACATTTCCATTTAATCAGCCTCATTGCCACGATAGGTGGGTACATCTAACGTTGAGATAATACACAACAAGTGTGCGCTCATGTGTGTGTTTTCTGTTTGTATCTTTGCTCCGTGAACTCCATCAAATCCATCCAGTCATAGAAAATAAGCTGTTTGCACAGGTGAGCCTCGTCGCGCTGGTCGTTTAAACATTTAAATGGGTCGCCCCGATGATGGATCAACGGGAGCTCTTACAGAGACAGCTCAGTGTGTGTGTGTGTGTGTGTGCGTGTGCGGATGGAGGATGGCTTTTGTTTTATTCAACTGAGCCGGAGACACGTGTGTGGGAGAAAGATGGAGGGACACATTATGTTAAGAAGCGCGAGGCACAAATGTCCCCGACTCACCCCGAAAGTGGAGGGAGGAAAAGAAAACGATCAAATGGAGGGAGGAGATAAGAAGAATGATCGCAACTAATCAATCGCGTGAGTCAAACTGGGACTGTACTTCATTACGTCTCCGCTCTGAACTCCATTACTTGTGCGCGAGGACGCCCGACCTCAGCAACACGGTCTTCTAATGAGTCCGTGCAGGTTCCCCTCCGCGAGGCCTGACAGATCCACCGCAGACGTAAGCGGGGGTCACGGCGCGCGCTGGCCGGCCTTCTGTTGGACATGTGACTTACCAACGGCCGCTGCCCGCGCTATGAAGGGACGGCGAAGGGGCTGATGAACCTTCAACAAACGGCGGAGCGACGCGAGCGGAGACAGAGAGGGGACAGAGACACGATACCCTTCTCGGCTGCTCTCCGCTGGGATGATGGCAGCTCCTGCAGAGACGCCAAGCTGCCAGGGAGTGTGTGTGTGTCTGCCAGGGTTTTAACAGATGGGGGATCTACCGTAGTGACTCTGTGAGGTCACATTGGTGACGCTATGAGTAACACACACATACACACACACACACAGGATTAGCACACACAGCTACACACTTATGCAGTGACGGATGAGGGACAATCAGAATGGAGAAACAGTTCAATAAAGTTGTTTTGTTTTGAACATGCTCTGTCACGAGCTGCCAACTGTCTCGTGATTTAATGGGGCTGTGTGTGTGTGTGTGTGTGTGTGTGTGTGTGTGTGAGTGTGAGAGAGGAGCATCTGGCACACAGGAGAAGGTTTCCCGTTATGCAGCTCGTCGCGTGGCGGACGGCTAAAGCGGAGCTGCACAAACAGCTTGATGGAGTCGCTCATCGACCTTCCATTCACTCCTCTGTGTTGTATTTGCATCGTCCTCGTGCTGTTTGAGGCCAGGTGGATGCTGATGGATGCCGCAAAAGTCTTTTAGACTTGTATCCCTGTGTCTTAACGCCACCCCCCCCCCCCCTCCACTGTCTACAGAGGTGTTCCTTTAAGTCTGATGCCTTGATGTGGATTCTTCACCTTCGTGGAAAATATGCGCAATATAAGATCAGTTACGTGTTGGTGTTGCCACGTTGACCAGAACAAAAGGACAGCAGAGGATAGAGAATACAAAGAGCAGACAAGGAGCGAGGAGGAGAGGTGCTAAATGTCTTGAAGCAGAAAAGAGCATCTTTGTCTCAAACCGTAGTTTCAACTCAGAAGCCAACTCAGCGGGCGTATGCTTGTTCGTGTGGGAAGAAAATATCTGAATGTTGCATGTGTGAGTGATCGCGTGCACGTGCGCACTAAACATTGAGAGCCAACACAGCAGGTGGATGTACAGTGTACTTGTTATATTGGAGAATTTGTATGAATATGATTGTATATCAAAGCAAGACATTGTGACTTTGAGTGAGTGAATGTGTGTGTGTCTGAAGAGGTGGTGTAATGTCTTTGTTCTACAGCGAGCACAGACATTAGCAGACAACACCAGATGGTGGACTAAAATGAGACAACGGAAGAGGGGGAGGAGAAGATAGAGAAGTTCCTTCCATCATTTCATCATCACCGTTCTTTGGTTTCCGCTCTGATAACAGCAACAAGCTGCCAAAAATAGATGTATGTACATACACGTTTAACATCAACTGCAACGCGGTATATAAGCTGGAGCCAAAGAGGATAGCACATCACAGTCTGCGTCATTGAAATATCAACAGAAAATACTTTTTTTTTTTCTGCGTTGGAAAAAGAAAGTTGTTATTTCTTTGAACCATTGAGACGTAAACAATCCTCAGTAAGGTCTGACAACGAGAGCAACATGAAAACATGAGAATATGAACAATTACGTTTATAGAAACATTAAAGCTTTTACACTACACTCACTAGACAGTGACGAGCTACGCAATCCTCGTCTAAAAGGATCTTTATTTCATAATTCAGACCTGTCTCACATCCGTCAGCTCGGTTAGTGATATTCAGTGAAACGGAAACCTGGACAGCATGTCAGTTAGCGAGGTGCGAAAATACTACCAGGCTAATGCTCGATCTGAAAGATCTGAAGAAAAAAAACGTGCTTTTGTATTCTCTCTTCTCTAGTTGCATGTTAAGCCAAAACAAAAACTCGATCACCATTCAGCGTTAAAGGAGCACTGAGAGCGTTACAAGCTCACATGCTCTACGATTCTCTGTTACAGTGATTGACACATTCAAGACTCTGACTTTATTCTGAGCCCCAACACGCAGAAGTGCTGTGACTGCACGTCGCCCGTAATGCAAAGCGTAATACGATGCCACTGTAGTGGTGAACAGCGGAGCCCCCCAGGGCTGCGTGCTCAGCCCACTCCTTTACTTGCGGGAGACGCTTTACACCCACGACTGCAACCCCTGACATGGAGACAACTCCGTTGGGAAGTTTGCGTAAATCACACCACCGTCATCGGCCAGATAACACAAAAGGAGAAGATTTGGAGACCTTGCAGAGCGGTTCTCAGAGGGGGACTTGGCATCACAAAAAAATTTAAAATCTTTATCATTATAACGTCTCAAAATGCTTGTAACGTATTAGCTTTGCTTTATGAAACACAGTGACTGGAAACATTGCATACTGCATTTGTTTGGGACGTACACAGACCCGGGCGAGACGGCTCTACAGTGGGTGATTAAAACCAGCCAGTGCATAGCCGGTACCCATCAATCAGACATCGGTGATATCGTTGAGGTGCCTGTAAAGACGAATCCAGAGGCAGTACGCCTCTACAGAGCACACACTGGAGGCTGCAGAGCAGCTTCTTCCCACAGGCTGTGAGATTTGCCCCGACTGTCCACCTCATCCTCATAAAGGGACTCGGTTGTGTGTCTCTGTTTTGTGCAAAGACAGTAAGTGAACCCTTCAACAGCTGGATTCCTTTTATCCAAAAAACACCAAAGCCAGAGATCCCTTGTTGAATATGCTGTCTTCCTCCGTCTTAATATCATCGTTCTCAACATTCAGTCACTCTCACACACACACACACACACACACACACACACACACACACACACACACACACACACACACACACGCATATTATCTACTTGGAATTCAAGCTGAGCAAAGCGTTCTCTTGACAAACTGCAGCTTACACCATTCATTCTCACGCTAAACTGTAATGAAGAGTAAATCCATCCATTCTTCATACTCATTCTTCACTTCAGAAAGGCCTTTGGACCAATTCATCTCCACCATCGTTCAATCTGTTCCATTTCTTTCGCATTCATTTAAATTAATCAATGACAGCAGGCATTTTAATTATCAAAGTTAAAAAGTGAAATGAGATTCTTGACGTTCTAACAAATAATAAGCCAATCCTGTATTTCTATAAATGCGTGTTTTACTGATGCAGAGCCAGAATCTCTTTTTTTTACTCACTATACTTTTACACAATAAGCTTCTATTCGTGTCCATTACAAAAGAGAGTAATGACATTAACAGTAAACATGTTGGTGCACACACAGGCACACACACACACACACACACACAGGCACACACACACACACACACACACACACACACCTGCGAACCTGCATACAATTGCAAGCACACGTCCTTAAACACATGCAGTACAAATAGTCTGCTGGTTTAAGCAGCTCATAATAGACAAGAGACAAAACGTCACCAGTGGGAGACACGTTGGTGTAGTTCTCTATACGGAAGGACGAATCGCAGACATTTATTCTCCTGTGAGCGAATATGATCCGCTTCCCTGACTTTCTGAGCGGTATTCGGGTCTTGAACCCATGTGGTGGAGTTTATCAGAAATATGAGATGTGCTGCAGTAGTAGAGAGGTTTTAAATGAGCACATGTAGCAGTGTGACGACAACAAACACTAAGCCAGCGCACAAAGAAGAACACTAAGTTGGTCAGACATGCGTAGATGGAGAAACTCTGCACAAGATATACACTCATAAGGGATTCCACATGTTAACACATGCACACACTCCAACGCATTTCCTGTCTGCACAATACACATTTCCTTTGGGGCTCGGGGGCACATGCATGCGTGTGTGTGTGTGTGTGTGTGTGTGTGTGCGCAACTTCCCAGCAGCCATTGAAGAAACATCAGTAGATAAGAGTGGAAAAGAGAGAGACAAAAAGAAACATGAAATGAATGAAATACTTTGAAAGGCGTCTGAGAGGAGACAAAAGCAAACGAATAACGCGAGTCCTCAAATGTCTCAAGAAAGAGGGACTTGTTGTTCTGCTCGTTCGGACGTGGCTACGTGTGCAAAGTGATGGTTCGAAGTGAAGGGAAAAGGGAAAGTCACCGGCTGCAATGCTTCCCAAACTCCCTTCAAAGTATTTAAAAATATGAATAATTGTCCCTAACTCCCATTGTGAGGTGCATATGCAGATTAAATATGCATAATGCATAAATGTACACTGTTGCTGACAGCAAGGAACCACATTCTATTACTATAGAAATTGCAAACCGCAAGATTTAAGATTAATCAGTAACTTTCAAACATGAAAAATCGAATACAAAATGTATTTAATCTATAGTTTATTTTGCAGTTTTTTTAGATGCGGCATCATTTGATTAAATCCTCCCATGAATGAATAATGATATGATAAATCCTAAACCCCCGGGAGCCTTGGAATCCACTTTGGGAACCACTGCCCAAGATAATAACATATTTAAGGTAAAAGGGAGCTTAGTTAGCACCTCGGCATGCATAGTGGGTGATCATGCAGAGTCAGAAAGAAGTCAAAGTGAATGCATGGAAAAACAGAACAAAGTAGAAGAAGAATAAAATTAGTGTTTATTAATCAAAACAGATTGGAAATTCTGCAGAAACAGTGTGCCAAGGAAAGTCTGGCAGAAAATATCAGCAAAACCAACATAAAGCTTCCCAATGAGATCATTTGATACAATCAGAATCATATTATAATAAACTCTGCATAATATGATTGCTTTGTGAGAGATGACATCTCATCTCTTAATTACATGCGGGTTTAATGTCTATAAAAAGAAGCCTTCCTATAGGCTGTTGGGCTGTGCATCTTCACGGCAAGCCTGTTGATTGGACCAAAAATGGATAAATTAGATGGGAGCGGAAATTGGAAGTGGTGATGTAGCCGTGGGCCGGCCCGCCGTCTTTAATACAGCTTCGTCAGGAAGATGGATGAAAAAAAAAACAGACCTGCCAATCAACCCCCTGAGAATGTTGTTTCACTGGCTGAGAACGAAGCATTGCGATTGGTCCTTACCATCTCTCGGGGCAGGAACATCTCCTCCTGCCGCAGGACCACGAGACACACGCTCTCTCCTGGCCGCGTGCTGCGCAGCATGCACACCAGCTCCTCTTGGCCCACACCTGTGATATCCACCCCGTTGACCTGGAGAGACACCAGCATGAGCAGCAGAACCACCGTCTCCCAGTGCTCCCCAGCTCTAATATCCGCCGCGCCGCGTCGCATCGTTGGTGGTAACGACAGCGATGAGTGTACCTCAAGTATGCGGTCTCCGGACTGCAGGCGGCCATCTTTAACGGCGGCTCCACGTGTCAGAATGTTCTTTACTAGAATGGGACCCGTGCCGTGGACTGAAGAATCTCTGGTTACCACGGTGAAACCGAGACCTTCTGAGCCTGGACACACAAACGCGCAGATGCACAATACACACACACGGAGAAATGTGAGACAGGACAGCGAGGCGAGGTACAGAGTGCGGAGAGAAGTATCACTCACTGCCGCCATATTCCTCTACCACGAGCTTTGTGACTCCTATCCATCCTCCCGCCCACACATGGACATGAGGTACACCTAAAAAAACTCAAACCGGGTCGTTGACTCCTGACTACATATTGTAAGCGTGATAACTAAGAGCCTTCCGAGACTGTAAATGCGTGTGTGTGTGTGTGTGCATGTGTGGGCTTCGCTTTAAACCCTTTAGCTATAGCTGTTCCCGGAGCATCTGCAGGTGTGAAGGTTTTTTAAAATGGGTTCAGGTGTGGGGCAGAAAGGAGGGAGGGGGGGGGGGGGTGACCGAGGTAAAGGGAGGAAGAAGAATGCAGCGCAGCGGGAACACGGGAGCGAAGGGTTCCTGATGGAGACGTGATGAAGATTAAAAGAGTAACCGGGAGAAAAGCAGGTGCTCGCGCACACACTGAAATAAGCCTGAAAGCACTCACACACACACACACATACACACACAGAAAAAAGACCACACGTGGACAGAGAGACGAGCTGTGTGTTCGTAGACATCATTTAGTCTGGTCTCTTTAGCAGAGCTCAGTCAGCAGTTTGGTCCAGTATGAATTCATATCAGCAGAAATGAACAGATCAATAAAGACTTAATAGACCCTGAAGACTGGGAATCAGGGAGATGGAGTGAGGAAGGGTGAGAGGAGGTGGGGAGGGAGGAAGGTGGGGGGGGGGAGTTGGCCGGAGAAGAGAGAAAGGCAGCTTCATAGAAATAAGCTCAATGCTGGGCGAACAGCAGGAGAAATAAAGTGGGTTAATAATATCCTTCCAGAAAATGGCAGGAAATAAAGAGGCTTAATGGTGTAGCTTCAGAAAGCTGCTGTGGAGGAAAAAGCGAGACAGATACGTGGAGCTAACAACAGCACATGTGACTTCCTTTAGCTGGAAATCTAAAACAGAGAGATTTCAAACTGTCATATAGGAATCTTTCTTTTGAAGATTACATATAGTTTTAGTACGTTAGAACGAACAGACTGAATAAAAAGATTTGGGAACTTTTGGTATTGCTGCTTTATATTATTTTACATAATAATCAATGATGGTTATTCTTACAAAACCTGTAGCCAGGTGCTCACCTTTCTTTAGGTCGATCCTCAGCCTCCGTCCTCCCCTCTTATTGGTCACCAGGCTGGAGAGGGCAGGACTTTTCTTAGGGAGGGGGCTCTCACTCCTCCCCCTGGGAGTCTAGGTGGAGAACGTGGAGCATTAAAGTATAATTTACAGCACTAAAACAGTGCAAGACATTTAAAAGCCCCATTTACACAGCTGATGTTTTACATTCTACTTGGTTTTATTAAAAGTTTTAGAAATGATCCTTCAGACAAACTTTGAACGAGGTTATATTTGCTGAAAAAAGGTTATTGTCATTTTATATGTCATCTACTCATCTGTTTGTAAAATTAGAAATGTGACATAAATTGACATCTTTAATGTCATTTATTTTCAGTACTATGCAGATATTAAAGAAAAAACGGACTACGTTAGTGGTGGAAAGGACGGATCGTGCAGTGTGCCAAACGTGGACATTATGAACCACAATGTAGGCAGGAATAAATAATGCAGCGTCCTGCCGGAGCTTTATGAAACCTCGTCATTACAGATAAAAAGATTTGTTTTCTAATAAAGTAAAGTGATAATCATCTGTTGCTAAGGAACTGTTGCCACTGCGGCAGCTGTTTTTCCGAATGCCGGCCACGTCACCATGGTAATGCCGACGGCACTATTGCATGCGTGCGAATCAGAGATTTGATAGTTTTAGGAAAAAGAGAAAACTAAGTACAAACAGTATGTGGTGCACACGGGGAGTGCAGGCTGAGAGAAATAAACAAATCCGCCCAAAAACATACACCCCTTAGAATATCAGCTCATAGAGACCTCCAGGTTGTTGGCAGGAGGACGGCTCAGGAAGCTTTTATGTTCTTAGAAGCAGGTGAGCAGAACGCTGGGACGAAAGACATTCTTGACATTCAAAGTATTAAATTCAACTCTACGCCGCAAATACTTTCCTCACCCATATTCATCACTAAACAACATGCCGACGAGGAGCAGAGCGACTCACGTTCGCAGCGGCTTCCTCGGCCAATCGCACAGCCGCATTCTCTGGCGGCTTGAACAGGGGCTTGGCTTTGACAGGAGGGGGGGGCTCTTTGGTCTTGGCGACTTGGGGGCTGCCGGCGAGGCCGGCGCTGTTGCCGAAAAGCTGCCCGATCAGACTCTTCTCGTAGCGTTCTCTGTTGGTGGAGGGAACCACTTCCAAGCGCACCACTGGGGAGCGCATCGCCTGACGGAACACTTCCTGGGCCCTGAGGGGGAAAGAGGGGGGGGTGAGGGTCAGAGGAAGAGAGGCAACGGTGTAAAATCAGAAGTGTCTGGGGTTTTAAATTAAGTTTTTGGAATATTTGTACTGTATAAGACACCATGAATTACAATTGCAAAGTCATTACCAAATGACATACAGCCACTTAAGTGAAAGATAATAATTTAATAATATATAATGATTATATATATATATATATATATATATATATATAAAAAAATCAACTTAATCGCTTATTATTACAAATGAGGTGTCAGTTCTTAACATAACATCTTAGCTGGTATGTCTTCATTAAACAAATTGGATTGGATTGTTAACTCCAAGACGGGTGAGAATCAATGTAAATAAAAATCCTTTTCACTGGAAATTACTTTTAAAATAAATCCACTTAATCATCAAGTCTCTTAAATAATTAAAAGAAATAATTAAATAGTCAACAATCCCATTTGGTATTTCCAATGATATGAAACACAGAAAAGTATTAAATCTTGTTTGATGCAATATAATTCAGACCAAAGAACCACAAGCAAATCTTGTAATAACACATTCAGTTTGGTTCAGCCCAAAATGTCTTTTTTTAACCCTTGAATGTTTAAGTATTTATGCCTTGTGATTGATGCAAGAGAGAAAGCTTCTAATAAAGAAAAAACATCATATCCAATCCATTGTTATGAAATAAAGCACGGGACAGATGGCATGATCCATCACCCATCAGTTTCCATCTACCTCCCCACTTATCAGTGGTTATTTATGGCGGGTCACTGTGTGTGTTCCTGTGTGTGTGTGTCACTGTGTCTGTCACTGTGTGTGTGCGTTTCTGTGGACCAGATCAACTGCAGAATTGAGACACAGCACAGGACAATGACACCTGTGCAGCCGGCCACCGTAATCTCATAATCTATAAGAGATCATTTTGCAGAGAATTAGTTCAGATCAGATTCTGCTAAGTGGATTAGGGGGACCATTGTGTCAGAGGCGATGGGGACACACCATCACTCACCTCAGTTCACCGACAGAGCAAATCCAGTTTATTTCAATTCTATTAGATCACACTGCTATTATTTCCCGCCTTGATTATTATTAGATACATAATGATCGTTAGGTTTGTGTAACTAGAGACAACCGTATGTTTAGAAAGGCCTGAATCAACAATGTACTTGTTTGAACTTGTTAGAATACATTAGATGAGCAAATAATGCTGTCAATTGTTATATTAATACAGCAGACTTGAGGGGACAAATCAATCAAATGCTACATCATAATGGGAGAATACATTGTTTGTATACATCAAGCATATGTACTGTACATTGTCCTTCTACATATGTGTTATGCATTATGAATATCATCATTAGGCACTTTTTGGATTGAAGCTCTACTTACACGTTGCTGGTTCACTTAAAGTGAACTTGAGAATGTGAAAACTACATCTCGGGTGTTTAAGAGGTGGAAAAAGATGCTTGATTATATTTAATGCACCAAAAGTCCACGGGGAGACAAACAGACTAAGGAAGCACAGGGTGCAAATGATTAACGCCGAGGTATGAATAACAGGATGAAAGTGCGTGAAAAATAACAGATATGATCACTGATCACAGTACTGATTCTGTGGATAATGAAGCTGTTTGTGGATGGGTGGTCATCTCGTCTTAAGTCTTCTCACGCAGGATTTACATACTGAAACGCTTCAACACGCTAGGCCCCCCAAAGTGCTCGTGTCGAGCCACACCTTTCTACAATTCACCCTTTGTAGGGTGAATAAGAGCACAGTACAGTACAATGACGGTAGATGTGTGTGTGTGTGTGAATAAGATCACGCTCAAAAACTGGCCGTGTTAAGACAAGGCCTGCCGTTGTCACACACAAAATGAAAGACTAGTTGCTTTATTCATATTGAAATTTGTCTTCGTTTGTTCACATGCAGATATGTGTTTTTAAGCCGAGTGTGTAGAAGTGTGTAGAACAACGATGCGTGTGTGTCTGTGAGAGAGTGACCCCGTCTTTGAACAATAGGTGCAAAACCCCTCCGGTGATAATCCATTTACCTACAGTACAGCATAAAAAAGCCCCCCCACATAATCGCATTAGCGGCCTGCAGGCTGGACACGGCGCGTTGTGTGGACGCCGTAATGTGCTGTAATCATTAGAACATCCACATCAGGCCTCGTAATCTGTGCGGAGGATCGTTCTTACAGGTGTGCCTGTGTCACTTTAACGCGCTCTGATCACGTCACATCCTCAAATACTTCTCTTCTTTACAGCTGCTCTGGGGGCACAGTGAGAAAAAAACTCCGAAACATCTGTTCTCGGATGAATCTCGAGGGGGGGGGGGGGGGGGACTTTTTTTCCTCGGAAAGAACCGAGCATACAAGCGGGTGGATTTGGAAGCGAGGCTCTCTCCGAAAAAACATCTGCCAAGTGTCTTTCCTTTTGTTCCGTGTGATGGCAGCGAAGCAGCGATATAAACCCTGTGACAATGGGAAGGCAGAGGAGACACACAAAAGGCAAAGACAGGCCAGACTTCTAGAGCTTTTAGGCATGAAATGCATCTACTCACATTTAAACAGAGCGCTGCGCGTTTATTCCCTCAGATAATGTTATGTAAGCGACATGTCTATGAATTCAATGTTTTATTTACCCGTATTCCATCTGAAGCACACATTTACATCTTAACAGCTTAAAGGGTTTTCACCCAAACCCTGAAATCGGTGTCTTGAGTAAACCGTTTAGTCGCAGACCTGCAGCGGGTCAAGTCCCGGCTAGGGACTAGTTGTGTGACGGGGAAAAGAGGAGAGGAAACGTACAGGAAAATAAAAGTAAACGCGGGCAGAACAAACATATTTTGGGTTTTCTTTCTGTAGAAATCAGAAAATATTGTTACGGCATTATTAAGCATAATCAGCCGCAAATATTGTTTTACTTGCGAGAGTCAGAACGCGTCGCCGTCCCCGACACTGAAATGGAGCGCACCCACATGAGGAGAAGACTTTGCTTACCTGGATTTGTGATTCTACAAGAACACATCCAGCTCGCCCCCCCCCCCGGGGGGAACACATATGTGAGCAATCTATAACGAGGGACTTTGTGGAGGGCTGTCCACTAATCAGAAAGGCAATGCGTTCCACCCCCACGTTGCTATATGAACATGAGAGCGCCTCCCCACCCTCTGTGCCTTGTTGGCGCAGTAGGCAGCGCGTCAGTCTCATAATCTGAAGGCCGTGAGTCCGACCCTCACACGGGGCAGGGGTTTTAATCCTCTTTTCCTCAATTTCTTTATGCCGGGAGACACAGTTAAATAAGTAGCGCTTTTTCTGTCAGCACTAAAACAGTCTCATTTGACTTGGAGATCTCGCCCCCTCAAGCAGACCAGGTGAGTTGGGCCATTCTTATCTCTGTCCGTGGGTTCCATGGTGTATTGGTCAGCACTCTGGACTTTGAATCCAGTAATCCGAGTTCAAGTCTCGGTGGAACCTTACTGTCAGGTGTTTTTGGTGAGGAAGTTTGGACTCCTTAGTCATCATTCTTTCCTGCAAGTCCACTTTGTGCTGTAAAAAGTCAGTGACTTGCCATGGAGAACAATCAGATAGACCCTGTAGCCCCTCCATGTGAACTGCGGTCACAGAACCTGTCTGCATTGCATCACTTCATTCTGGCCGATCGGGCGCCCAAAAACGGAAAACAGCAATCTTTCAATCTGTCAGTGTCTCACGCTCTCAC